TTCCGCGGATGCTTTTAAATGATAACTTTAAAGATCACTTTCAATCAGTGCACGGTATTTTTCGTCGAAATCTCATCTCACGATGTTTAACCCCTAGTAGCTCGATATTGAGCCGTAAAACTTTAACCGTAACCTAACACCCATACCTAACCCTAAATCGGTTATTATATCCCCTGCTCTAGCCCTTACATGACGACTAGCCTAAAGAATGCACTAACAATAACTGTAACCCAAAATCATTATGAGAAACTGATGCGGGCGAAATTTTGAAGGGGTCAAATGTCCTTTTTCCCCTCTCAAAACCCAAGGCAACAAGTTCAACAGAATTTTTTGAAGTTTTTGAGTTTAACAGGCAGTCAATTTATAACTGGTGTTATTTCGTCTGCACGTTTTACAATTGCATTGCTTTCAAATATGGAAAAGTCTGTTTATACATTATAGCTTCTTAATTAACTAATTGGACATCAGACTTAGTTATTATATTTTTATATATTAGTATTCTCCACGGTTAAATCTGGATCATTGGGAGCAATTAACTAATTTGGTACTGAAAGTTAATTATCAAATAATTAAAATATTTGAATATTTTAATTGGTTAATTATGTTATTTGTATTTTGTCACCTAACCAGCTCCCGTTTCAAGACAAAACCATAACTTTTACTCTTATCTAGCTACTCTGATCACGTGATCGTACACCCAGTGTTCATCATATCATACAGAGCTAATTTGTATAATATATACAATATACATCCTGCGAATACAATCTCTAAAATATACATTTAAAGAGAGATATATATTCCACTGTAGATCTGTGATAGGGTGACGTGTGATATAAGACTCAGTGAAATTTTACACTGACATTACGATGTCACCTACTCAAATCAAATATTAATTCTCTCTCTCTCTCTCTCTCTCTCCGCTCTCGTACTGTTCAATGTTCATCCCGCCATCTCTCTCTCAAATTTATTATATAACACTGTATATTATTATATTTGTTACTCCTCTCTCTCTCTCTGTCTTTCTCTTGCTCTCTTGTGTTGTGTCATTGTGCGCTATTTCTTTGTGTCTAATTGTTGTATTTTGAATTTTAGATGAGGCAAAATAAGAGGGAGACGGTAGGAATAGTCCCTTTTAATACGTGTATAGAGAGAGTAGCTCTTCCATGTCATGTCGATATCCTTTATTTTCCTTGTTGACATTTCCAGATTGTTCAAATACACGGTTGGTAAGAACATACAAGTGGTTTGTCTGTGTTGCCCCGCCCTGCGCTTAACATTTTTACTGAGGAACGCGTTGTTTACGCGGAATTTTCCACGCCTCAACAAGTTTTGTGTACTTTTTATATCCTGGACTTGGCAAACATTTACATTCTATATAATCATCATTTTCAGATTTATAACTGCATGTTCCATTCAGTCCATTCTAGAAGTTTACGCCTCGGTGTCACACTTCTACATCTATTATAACCTAGCCTGAGATTTATATCTGCTCTCAACTATAACCTTACAAACTATTTAATGAGACCGCTAGGTTATAATAATATCCCGATTTAATGTGCATATATTCACATATAGGACGAAGTTAAGAGCGCGTGTCAAAATACCGTGTACAAACTGTCAACACATAGAATCTCCGGGAGGGAGAGAGAGAGCTTCAAGAAACTTGGAGTTCTGCATTATTGTTAAAGTGTTGTAGACAGTTACATCCTTCAATCCACATAGTTTTACATTTTTACAGCCTTATATACTCCCCCGGAGTTACATGTGTATATCGAAATGTACTGTTATAGTTTACATGTCCAGCAGTTATTATGTTACTAGTTTACAATGACATGTTGCATTCTGTTTTAACCTCCCTTAATTCTTTATCTCTCTCCTTCACAGTTTTGTATAGTACCTCATAAAGTTGTTTCTCCGTGTTTTTGGCAACTTTCCTGTTATCTGAGTATCGGTAACTAAGTATAGCTATTATTATTATTACACATATTTGTACGTTTAATATCACTGCATCATCAATCATCAGGTCTATAGTCTCCCTCCCTCCCTGACTCTCTGAACTCTCTCTCCCACGGCAAGCGTGTGCTGCCAGCTTAAATTTAGCAGCACTTATCTTATGATCTAACATGATTCCTAACAAATCATCCCGCATATCCCATACAACTATCCCTGTGTAGGCTTCCCCATGGCTAAATATGCCGACGGGTATAAGTGTCAATGTAGTTTTGTGATCTTGTCTCTTGGTTATAGATAGCAGATAGAGTTGTCCGATTTTATATTATGATCTTAGTATTTATTTGATATAATGCGTATCTTAAAGTGAGTTTTGTGCTATTTCAGCCGCATTTTATGCTTTGTATTTGTAGCTTTTCGTTTATTTTTTAGTATTTTACTACTTATAATCCTGTTTTTGTGTCAATCATATTTACAAACACTATGCAAATTTGTTGATTTATACCCTAATCCCTATACTGCATGTATCGCGTATAAAGCGACTTAAACATTAAACATTAAAGAAGATTAGACTGAATTGAAATCAGATTGCGGGAACGCTCGTAACTAAGAGAGGTACAGCTTTAGATACGTAGCTTATATTCGACACCTTTACTACACCTTTACTACACCTTTACTACACCTTTACTACACCTTTACTACACCTTTACTACACCTTAACTACACCTTTCTACACAGAACTGTACGACACATTATCATCGCGCTTTGCCTTATTCGTCCATTACTGCAGTCTGAATTTTCAAACACCCTCAAATATATACCGTGACCTCAATCTCAAGTATTTTTGTGCTGATACAGGCCCTTCACACTTTGTTTCTGTCTGGTTCTAATGTACCGTCACAATAGTGACTTTAATATACTGAAGATAATCTCTTTGTTTGGAAAAATAATTGTGCCTTCATGTATTTTTTGTCTTGCGTCACTGAATATTTGACTCGAGTATTTTATCGTCAGTTAAATATTATTGAATCAAGATACACGTTTATGATTGATTAATACTCGTGCTTATATGCATTTCAATCTGTTCGAGCTTAATGAACATTTTTGCTTATCTAAATACCGACTATAAATTTGATTGGATATTGAATCCATTGCAATTTTTATGACAAATAAGCAAACGATAAAAAGGCCCGATGACGCGCATGGTGTATAAAGAGTTCACTGCAGATCACTTAAAGTTAACGTAGGATCTAAGAGGTGTATTGAACCCCACCTCAGTATGTAACACTGAAGTGTGAGGCTGCCACCAATGGTGCTTATGACCCTGTTAGTGATGTCAGTGGTGCTAATGATTCCGCTCTTGAACGAATTCAGCGGTGATCAAACAGTGATATCTGGCAGTGACACTCAATGGAACCTGAAATCTATATTGTCATCATTACCATGGTAACCATGTCATTACCATGGTAACCATGTCATTACCATGGTAACCATGTCATTACCATGGTAACCATGTCATTACCATGGTAACCATGTCATTACCATGGTAACCATGTCATTACCATGTCATTACCATGGTAACCATGTCATTACCATGGTAACCATGTCATTACCATGTCATTACCATGTCATTACCATGTCATTACCATGGTAACCATGTCATTACCATGGTAACCATGTCATTACCATGGTAACCATGTCATTACCATGTCATTACCATGGTAACCATGCCATTACCATGGTAACCATGTCATTACCATGGTAACCATGTCATTACCATGTCATTACCATGTCATTACCATGTCATTACCATGGTAACCATGTCATTACCATAGTAACCATGACATTACCATGGTAACCATGTCATTACCATGGTAACCATGTCATTACCATGGTAACCATGTCATTACCATTTACCATGTCATTACCATGGTAACCATGTCATTACCATGTCATTACCATGGTAACCATGTCATTACCATTTACCATGTCATTACCATGGTAACCATGTCATTACCATGGTAACCATGTCATTACCATAGTAACCATGTCATTACCATGGTAACCATGTCATTACCATGGTAACCACTAACCATGTCATTACCATGGTAACCATGTCATTACCATGGTAACCATGTCATTACCATGGTAACCATGTCATTACCATGGTAATGACATGGTTCTTATGTGATATTACAATGTCGCCGTCTTCACAATGACATTTATCAACGACCAGGCTCAACAATGCTCTGAACCTGTCCCTTGCAACTATATCATGTTAGTGATATTTTGGGCGGCAACAATCTTGGAGCGGCAATTATAATGGAATAGAAAGCATGACTCCTGCTTCTAACAATTCAACATTTTAGCTTCTCGTCTTTCTACTGTTCATTTTAACACTGCTATGATAATGTACAGCATTGAGTAATTCCTAATAACATATTATTAAATTTTTGCTGCATTGTACACTATACACTGTACACCACACAGAGTAATCACTGTAAACCAGTAAATTACAACTTCAGAGTCAGTTCCAGACTCCCAAACCTCCCCTAAGTTCCACAAGTTCCCCCCGTACATTTACTCCTGCAATATTGGCTTTGTTTCTCCGCTTTAGTGTAACTAATTAGAATAGGTTTAATAACTTTAGTGTAACTAATTAGAATAGTTTAATAGCAGTGCAGATGGAGTCGAATGTAAGTGCTAAGTAACATCCTATTCATTACCAGTCAGATTGGAATAATGATCCACGACAGTCAACCCTGCAAATTATACTTATATCCGGACAATGTACACCGTCCAATTGTGTACCTTTGTGTTTTGCATTAGCTTGTATAGAATTAGATCGAGAGATAGATCTCAGAGCACTGCTGCTGCTGGTGTAGCAGCCAGATCGTGCAGGGGATAGTTGGTGTTTTCCGCGTACTGTTAGTCATTTCCTAAATATGGAGGATGTTTTGTTTTCTTTCAACTTTACCGGAAACGATGATTCCAGTCATCTGTTGCCAATATTGCACTATCATATGTTATATGTGGTTTATTATTCCCCCATTGCAGAACACCAGCAATGTAAAGGAACTGTCCTCTGATATCCGCTCTGATGATATCACCCCTATCCGGAGACTTGTAAAGGGAGATAAGATAGTATCTTAGATACCCGTACTATAAGGGAGAGTACAGTCCTGCTAGCTGCTTTAACTTGGTGTGTCTCTGTGAACGTGTAGAGGGTCAGTTTCGGAGTGGTGGTAGAGTTAAGTTGTAGATGCAGTGCACAAAATGTGTTGTCGTCGGAGACGGATTTGTAGGTGAGTGTGATTTAGGTTCTTGGAAATGACTGATGTTGTTTGCTGTTTGGTCATGGACCATGGTTAACTTCTTGTCAAATTCATTAGTTTTACTAATCTATACATTTTGTATGATATGATTAAAACCCTCATGCACGAACTTTTCCAATGCTATTTTTGGATAAGAAAATATGTAAGTAACAAAGTTACAATGTCCTGACTAGAATTTGTTTAAACTAATATTTCAATCCTTTTTTGTGTACAACACGAAGACTGAGTGGACTGAGTATTGCACAACCTCCTCTTTATTTCCTCCTGACTTCCTCCTTTCTTACTCCTTAATTCCTCATTACTTCCTCCTTTCTTAATCCTTTCTTCATCCTTTCCTCCTCATTTCCTCCTCCTTAACTCCTCCTTACTTTCTCCTTTCTTCCTTCTTCCTTCTTCCTTCCTCCTTTCTTCCTCCTTACTTCCTCCTTACTTCCTCCTTACTTCCTCCTTACTTCATCCTTTCTTCCTCCTTATTTCCTTCTTTCTTCATCCTTACTTCCTTCTTACTTCCTTCTTTCTTCATCCTTACTTCCTCCTTACTTCATCCTTTCTTCCTCCTTACTTCCTTCTTTCTTCATCCTTACTTCCTCCTTACTTCATCCTTTCTTCCTCCTTACTTCCTTCTTACTTCCTTCTTTCTTAATCCTTATTTCCTCCTTACTTCCTCCTAACTTTTTCTTCTTACTTCCTCCTTACTCCCTCCTTACTTCCTCCTTTACGTACATTTTATTTGTCTTTGCGTTATACATAAACAAGTAAATAAAGATACTATAAATGTTATTTAGAATATATATTCGCATTTATCCACACTATATTTACATTACACGTACAACGTGATATCATTATCAGTGCAGTGTGTACAACACCAACTACACCGATCAATTGCCAATCTGCGAAACATTTTAATTATTATTATCACTTCGAGATGGCCAGGCCTACTCTCATGCTGTCTATATGTGATGATTAACTCTGAAAAGCTAGGGACAACTGGGGAATGATCCCAGAACCTCGAGATTTCGCGTCTCTTGCTCTACCAATTGAGCTACTGACCCTGATTCTCAGAGCGAAATCACCACTCATATACAGCACAATTTCATGCTTTGTGTGGAATATAATTTTATCAGTTATTTAGAATATATATTCGCATTTATCCACACTATATTTACATTACACGTACAACGTGATATCATTATCAGTGCAGTGTGTACAACACCAACTACACCGATCAATTGCCAATCTGCGAAACATTTTAATTATTATTATCACTTCGAGATGGCCAGGCCTACTCTCATGCTGTCTATATGTGATGATTAACTCTGAAAAGCCAGGGACAACTGGGGAATGATCCCAGAACCTCGAGATTTCGCGTCTCTTGCTCTAATCATCACATATAGACAGCATGAGAGTAGGCCTGGCCATCTCGAAGTGATAATACTATAAATGTATTATAATATTTGGTCTTCTCACAGGCAAGACGGCGTTGGTGGGAGTCTTCAGTAACAAAGAATACAAAGAAACATACGTTCCTACTATATTTGATAATAAGATTGTCGGTATTCAGTACAAGCAAACATGGATAAACCTTGGTGAGTGACTGTGATTTTATAAGACTATTGCAAAACTTTTCCACCAGTGGAGGGCGGAGATTACTTACACTTTTTTGCTAGAAATCAGAGAAATCAAATGGTTTTCATTGAATAAATATGCAGGAGTGTTCGATACTGCCGGACAAGAAGAATACGATAAACTAAGGCCCATGGCGTACACGGACACTGATGTTTTTATTGTGTGTTTCTCAATGGTTGACAGAGATTCCTTGGAGAATATTCTCAACAAATGGGCTCCTGAGGTAATTATGTACAATTTAAAAAAAACTTAAATCAGTACATCGGCTACAGATTGCAGGTTCTATCCATTTTCCCTTTTATTTGTAATTGTCCGATTTCCTTTAATCTTATTTTCAACCGCCAAACGATCCGTGACAAAGCGTTTATTATATTGTGAAACAGATGTATTTAAACATTAAAGAGCAATATAAAGAACACTTAATTTATCTAACTACAACATCATTAAATTGTTGTCTTCAGTTAGATAAGTATTGTCCGAAAGCAAGACGGCTTTTGGTCGGGACGAAAGTAGATTTGTGGACGAATAGTGAGTATAGCGGCAGAGCTATATCGCAAGAATATATCGACGAAATAGCTAATCAAATAGGTGTGTGTTAACATTTCTAAATTCAAGCATTTGTTTTTTGTAAGACCTTGATGAAATTTTAGCTCGTGCCTGGGCTCTGGAGGGAGGGGGGTTCAAACGTCCTTCCTTGTGATTATCCCTCCCGGTGTTGGGATAGCCTGAGGTGCTTATCTCCTTAGTAACCCTAAGCCACTCTGTGCCAAGGCACGATACTAGTATACTGTAGCTGTAGGGGGTTAGTCCTAAGAGCCAGTAAAACTTTACAAATACCACTGTTTTCAGGAGCTGTAGACTTCCTAGCAGTGTCAGCACTAGAACAGCAGGGTGTGGAGGAGGTGTTTCAGAGAGTAGCCGAGATTGCCTTGGAGCTGGGGGAGCCGGAGAAAAAGAAGAAGTCAGAGTGCTCCGTTATGTAGAAACAACCAACAGTTTGGAAGACAAAAGCAAAACCCTTGTGGTTTGGTGCGAGACAGAAGTTAAATTGCAAGGGTTGGGATCGCGACAGAAGCTGAACGATTGGGGTTATGGGCAGGACACAAATAAAATGGTTGTGTTCTACGGTTAAATAACTGGTTACAGTACTGGTTACAGTACTGGTTACAGTACTGGTTACAGTACTGGTTACAGTACTGGTTACAGTACTGGTTACAGTACTGGTTACAGTACTGGTTACAGTACTGGTTACAGTACTGGTTACAGTACTGGTTACAGTACTGGTTACAGTACTGGTTACAGTACTGGTCGAACAACTGGATCGTGGTGGGTTGAGTAAAACTTGTTTGATAAGTCTTCAATGATCATTATATTTGAGAATGGTTCCCTCAAAGGGCTGGTTTAATTATGCTTTGATAGGACTGCTGCTGAGGAGGGGCCTGGGACACTGACACTCCCATCCTTTACTTTACACGATTGCTTGTGTCAAGAGTTAGTTTTAAGATGAATATAAGAACGATTTGAGGAATTGTGGGGGGAAATGTGATTTTATTTTTGACGAGTTTGATACATCTTTGAGTGATATGCTTTGATTTTCTAACATAAATATCATCCCGAGACCTTTTTTATGACTGCATCAGTTTGAAATCTGCCAAAGTCGTCAACAACTATTTTGTTATTTAACTTAAAGCTTCTTTTTTCATGATTTCATGTTTTTGAATTTTTGTCCTTTGCTCGCTATGTATTTTATTTTCCACTGGCACCGCCTGAAATTTAATTTAACATCCGATATAATTAAAAAACTGGGGAGATGGATTTATATTCATCATTGTGACAGTATCATTGCAATGACCAAATAATGTAATCGCTGTATTTATTATTAAGTGTTGATAAATGAAGTACACCAAATGAAAACAACTGAACTGCTGCCAAACAAAAACGCTGTATTGTATGGTTTAACAAGCCAATCAATTAAATGAATACATCGCAATTAACATTAAATATCTATAATAAACAGATTGGTATTGTGTTCGTTTGCTTTACCATGTTTGATGATGGATATTTCAAAAAGAACTAAAGCCTTGTTTATTACTTTGTTTGTCATTTTCTTGATTTGCATTAAACTGAGATGGCCTGAAAGTTTTTCAAAAAATACACCAATCCAGCCGATCAGGTTGAAAGAAATCATCGTGAAGCATCAAGCTGAAACTTCAGATGCAGATGGAAAGGGGAATTACGATCGGATCAACAAATCGTTTCTCCGCGATGAAAATACAAACGTTCCAGCTGAAAGCGGGGAACACGTGACTACTCGGAGACTATGGTCCGTGAAGAATGTCGGCCAACTTTGGCAGGAACTCGGAGTTCCTGAAAATGTATAAGCCTAGTTATTTTTAATTACATCGGCTTTGAAATTCCTAGCTTCTGCTTTATAAAGAGCAATTCTTATATCGCCAATAAATCTGTTATCATTAATCGGAACCATAAATATGTATTACGTTCGGTTGGAATACAGAGTACAAATATATATACAAAATTATAACAAAACTATTGACATGGTTTGAATCCTTGATTTGCGTTTCAGAAAAACATGAAGAATGTTTTAAGGAAAGAATAAGAGGTGGTAGAAATTTAAAACATAATGTAATTTAAAGTTGAGTTTTCTCTCAGCTAAACCAGATATCACACGTTATGGACCAGAGAGGAGAGTTAGTAAGAAGAACTTGTAACCTACTACATCTTCAAGGAAGGGAATTGACAAGAAAACCTTCTGCTTTTCACGTCTTTAGGTTATAACTTTCAACTTTTAGATCTATCATCTCTATAGCCATTCGTCTTCACCTGGTAGAGTCGATATAGTGACGAAAATGTATGGTTTTGAATTGCAAGTTCGAGCAAGATGGTAGCAAACAAACCCTTAGATAAAAAATAACGATACCACTCATTTATATGTTATAACATTGACTGATTAACTGTCTTAATCCGACAGTGACTACAAAATGGGTTGGTGTCCTATATACAAAGCAGGCAGTAGTAATTGGAAAAAATATCTCACTCGGCTCACTGGCATCGACAGGTGAAATTTAGTTTCGTCAAGATTTTGCCAATTGTCGAACAAGCATACATTGTGCAACGCTTAAAACAAAATTGAAACTGGAAAACCATGAAATTTTGTATTCCTTTTAAAATGCATCGTTTAAAACGAATGTCTTGTGTTTTCCAGGGAGTGTGAATCGTATAAACTAGAGGGGGCTAGAGGAAGCTGTCTACATAACAAGCTACAACGGTACAATCACCCTGCCGTAGACTCTGACACAGTTAGTGTTTTACATTGTTTTCCACTATTTAGTCGCTAAACTGTGAAATGTTTCCAATTTAATACACACTTATTTTTTGTTTTGACTCCCTGACTCTTTACTTCGTAAACTTGATACATTTCTGATAATTCTCAGAGGACCAGTTTAGCGAGTTTTGTGGTAGTTCGTCACCCTTACGAGCGTGTTGTCAGTGCTTACAGGGACAAAATACAAGCAGCCGACAAGAAGGTTTACTACAACAAAGTTGGCAGATTTGCAAAGATAAAATACCGGGCCATACCGTCTAATATCTCATCAGAACACAGGGAGGTAATGATAGCCGAGGCAGATGATTTAGTTAAATCTGGACACCTCACCGTTGAAGATTCACATAATCCCTTTACAAATCCCCTTGGTCCCACGTTCCTCGAGTTCTCAAAAGCCATTATCTATGACAACAAGCGTGACATGCACTGGGCAGTATACGAGAAGTGGTGTGCTCCTTGTTACTCCCACTACTCCTCCATAGTCAAGTTTGAAACCCTGAATATCGACAATTTGTACGTGTTACGACAGCACGGTCTCAATATCACAGGGTTTGAGGCTCACAGTAACCCTACTAGCAATGGAGGCACCAGGGAGGTAATGTGGAAGTCGTACTTCCGGTCTCTAGATAGGGATTTGTTGGTGGGGTATAAGGACAGGTATCAGGTGGATTGTTTGTTGTTCGGCTACGATTGTGACGTTTCTCAATTCTTTTAGCTGCAGTAAACGGTAACAATATAATGGTTATTCTGGAAAGTTAGAAGTTTAAAAGATATTATGTAATTTATTTAATTATTTATGGGGTTTCATGCATAGTTTGTTTTAAAAATTATTGTTTGAATGGTCCTCTTGTAAGTTGTATCCCTCGACAATATGCAAAGGTTTCCCTCTATTCCTCATAAATATGAATTACGGGCCTGATCGTTAGTTTAATTAAATGACGTAATTCAAAGAGATTGAAAGTTGCAGATTTATTGATCAAATTTACCTTGTATTATTGATTGTGATAACGAGCGACTTGATGATAATATGATTATTAATGTGTCTATTTTTGTTGACTTATTCATATTGTGTGGTCTGATACTATATCCACGTGTTTTGAGATCCTATATCCACGTGTCGCGCAATGAAAAAAACTGAAGGACGAACAGAATTTGAATCAGGACTCTGATCCCCTAATTTCTTCCCGACATAATGACACCACCAAAGCTTGTCTCACATTAATATAAGCATAACCTTTCTTTGTAGCACAGTTCCGGTTCACACAGTCTAATGACTAGTAGTTTGGTAACTAGGGACTAAGGGACCAGGTACAGGTCATGAGGTCCTTTTGTTATGTGTACCTACCTACGATTAACTCCCCTTTGTCCGCGAGGTGGGTTATTCTCCTCTAGTGAGGCGCCATTTCTCTCACCTACCCTCTGTTGTGACACTTGTCTCTAGTGAGCCGCCATTTCATGTCACTCTCAGCTACTCTTTATAACACTGATTATGATCTGTGAGACCTCAGTGCTGATCATGTATCAGTACTGGGTTGTCAGCTGGAATCTGTATGTTGTACTCCTGCACGACTGACCTAGAAGTAGGCAATGAATTCTTGAAAAACAACAATATCAATTTTCCGCACTTTTTTAAAAGTGAAATTGTATCATTCGATTCGCTCTACTGCAATTACTGTTTTATCCTTTCTCTTAAGTTGCTGTTTAGCAATAAACTAGACATAGCAGTGACGTCACAGCCACGTGTTAACCACTATTAGCCGTGACGTCACAGCCACGTGTTAACCACTATTAGCCGTGACGTCACAGCCACGTGTTAACCACTATTAGCAGTGACGTCACAGCCACGTGTTAACCACTATTAGCACGTGACATCACAGTCACGCGTTAACCACTATTAGCAGTGACGTCACAGCCACGTGTTAACCACTATTAGCAGTGATGTCACAGCCATGTGTTAACCATTATTAGCAGTGACGTCACAGCCACGTGTTAACCACTATTAGCAGTGATGTCACATCCACGTGTTAACCACTATTAGCAGTGACGTCACAGCCACGTGTTAACCACTATTAGCAGTGATGTCACATCCACGTGTTAACCACTATTAGCAGTGATGTCACAGCCACGTGTTAACCACTAATAGCAGTGACATCACAGTCACGCGTTAACCACTATTAGCAGTGACGTCACAGCCACGTGTTAACCACTATTAGCAGTGATGTCACAGCCATGTGTTAACCACTATTAGCAGTGACGTCACAGCCACGTGTTAACCACTATTAGCAGTGATGTCACATCCACGTGTTAACCACTATTAGCAGTGACGTCACAGCCACGTGTTAACCACTATTAGCAGTGATGTCACATCCACGTGTTAACCACTATTAGCAGTGATGTCACAGCCACGTGTTAACCACTATTAGCAGTGATGTCACAGCCACGTGTTAACCACTATTAGCAGTGACATCACAGCCACGTGTTAACCACTATTAGCAGTGATGTCACAGCCACGTGTTAACCACTATTAGCAGTGACATCACAGCCACGTGTTAACCACTATTAGCAGTGACGTCACATCCACGTGTTAACCACTATTAGCAGTGACGTCACAGCCACGTGTTAACCACTATTAGCAGTGATGTCACAGCCACGTGTTAACCACTATTAGCAGTGACGTCACAGTCAAGTGTTAACCACTATTAGCAGTGATGTCACAGCCACGTGTAAACCACGTGTTAAGCTACGTAGAGCTATGCAATATGCATTAAGTTTTGTTAAAAGCTTCCTCTTACAGGTATACTGTATCTTTATTTCTTTAATATTGATAGTTCAGGTTACATTTCTTTCACCCGTATACTTCTAGTTTCTTCTTCTATACCGAAAATAGATATATTTATCGCGTACTGTCGGCATTTGAATGTTAGATAACAGCTCATGTTATAAAATACAGGAAGTCTTCAATTTGGTCACAAATTTGACATTATAACTTCGCGATTTCATTCACTACCTTGGTACCTTCAGTACTTTGCGAACAAAAAAGACCGAAGTTATATCGCTCAATCTCAAATTTAGAGCACCTGGTCAAATGAAATTTCTTTTTAGTCTTATGCAGTGTGTTTCATTGTTCTTGCTTTGAGAGTCAACCTGATATTTTTCAACAGCTCAAATTATATCTTTTCCAAAAAAAACCTAAGTTTTAATGGGTTGAGAATTAACATCTAAGGCAGTAACCTCTATATCACCACTGCTAGTTCCGCTATACAACCATTCATACCATTGCTAGTATTATAATACTTCTTTTTGAGATGTTGCTATAAGCGTGAAGCTGAAACTCTGTGCCGGACAGCAACATTTATCGTTTACTCATTCACTACTAGTTCACTACTAGTTCACTACTACAGTGCCGTTAATGCCAGACTACAGTGCTATTAGTTCTCTGATCTCTAATTCTATGTGGCGGGAACGTATAACGACTACACTAAACTTTATATCACATTAAAACTACGAACCGAGGTTCGTTTGCATTTTGTGTCTGAACCTTCAACCTTGTTCAACCATAAGAATAAGGAATATTTCTTATCATTTTATAATTTTCTGTCGTTCTTCATCGAGAAACTATATTATTGTTCCGACCGGTTTTATCCGATAGTATCATACGTTAATTCTTACTCCTTTTATACCGAAAATGGATAAATTGACCAGCTGTGGCCGGATGAAGATGACAGTTTCGTGACTTGGCATGAATTTGACACTGAAAGTTCGCTTTTTCATTTAGTTGACACCTCATGTGGACGGAAAGAACTGAGGTGATCTCTCTGGTTACAGCACCATATGGTCAATTGAAGCTCCTTTTTTGTCATGTGGAGTCGGTGATCTGTATTGTTCTTGTCATTTTCAGAGCATATAGCCCTCTATGACACCGTTTTAATCGACATTAGGACAGTCAGTATGATTGAAGCTTGTAAAACGTATCGATATTGCCTCATTTTTACTTTATTAAAATGAGTAAGTTTTAAGTAACTAAATATGAATAATATTCATTAAGGTTGGTTATCGTTTCATTCCTGAACTCTGAGCCAGGAACTTGAAAACAACATTTTTATATTTAGTTATACAATCCGTATTCCGTATAGTACGATCCCAAATGTTGAATATTTCCCCAATGATCTCCTGCATCATTTATCAATAACTTTTTATAATTTTTGTATGTTGTACCCGTTGTACTGTGTACTATTATTGCTGTCGAATCGTCGATACTTTTGTTGGATCTTCTATTTAATTTTAGGAACAAAATAATTACAAATTGTGCTACTAAAATACTAATATTTCCTCATTATAATTGAGTGTTTTTATATCACCAGATGAGCTAATGTAAAAGATGTGGCTACAGGCATCATCGTATCATTCTCGGTCATGTACGTTACCTTCCAGCCTTCTGGGTCACTTCTAGGAAAGTAGGAATACTCATGGCATAATATGGACATGTTTACATCTTACAGCACATTAGTCATTATGACTTTAACCTTTTACAGCTTTCAGTCTAACAACGAGTGCATTGCCAACTCACTTAGTAGCTAGTTCCCGCGATGCCACACTTCTTGATTAGCCATGTACGTATTCGAGCCACACAAAAGTTTTGGCTACCGCCTTAATAACATAATCGTTCATAAAACAATGGGTCAAACAATACTGTGCTGCAAGGTAACACTATAAAATTTACGCAACAATTAGGCAAATCTCGTGAACATGTGGCTCTCCCATTCCATACTCTATTATCGGTCTTTCTTCTGAAAGCCGGTCGACCGAGCGATAAGTCGACCGAGCGATAAGTCGCGATAAGTCGACCGAGCGATAAGTCGCGATAAGTCGACCGAGCGATAAGTCGCGATAAGTCGACCGAGCGATAAGTCGCGCGGCACCCGACTACTATGAGCCTAAGCTTTCAGTTCAATAGAGGAGATAAATCCAAAATTGTTTTACGACAACCACTCATAGTTACAAATTTCTTTTAGCACCCATTGATGATTGAGCATGTTACTGATAACGTATGATGGTTTCAAGTCTCTTGATGATTTAGAAATAACCAATTAGAAAAGACCGGAACCGGATTTAGAAGGATATCCGGTCGGTTCCTAATTTGTATGTTGTACTGTTATTCCTGTCGATACTGTTATTAGATTTTCTGGTTCTTTTGCGATAGTCAAAACGCAACAACTAGCGCTGGATGGCGACAACTAGCGCTATCCAGCGCTAATTGTCGCCATCCAGCGCTAGTTGTCGCTATCCAGCGCTGGATATAATAACGCTGGCCAGCGCAAAATATATATGTTCGATAATTGTCGCTATCCAGCGCTAGTTGTCGCCATCCAGCGCTAGTTGTCGCCATCCAGCGCTAGTTGTCGCTATCCAGCGCTAGTTGTCGCTGGCTATGCGACACTGTCGCACGCGATAGTTTGTGATGGCCAGCGCAACTGGCCATCGCAGAAAACAGTTCGATAACTAGCGCTGGATAGCGACAACTAGCGCTGGATAGCGACAACTAGCGTTGGCCAGCGCTGGCCAGCGCTGGCCAGCGCTAAGCGATAACCAGCGCTGGCTTGCTCTAACCAGAGCCCTCTCGCTTGCAGTAGCGCGCGACCGCCATAGGCGGCAAAACTAAAAGATGGCCAGCGCTGGCCATCGATATCCAGCGCAAAATTTTTGCGCTATTACTCG